AAAAAAAAAAATTTAGTAATAACTTAGTATTTTTTTTTTTTTTTTTTTTTTTTTTTTTTGTAGAATTTTAAGTTGAACATATCCTTTAATGTGTATATATAATTTTATTTAGTCTCTAAATAAAAATAATATATTTATACAAGTTAAAGTAATACTTCTTTTATTTAAGTAATTTAAACTATTTTTACAAATATATATATATATATGCACTTTTAATTAATACCTTATTATAAAGTATAACTTAAAAAACAATCCAATTACATATTAGCAATTTCATCTAAAAAACAAATTATTGAAAATATACATTAGTTATTTCTTCTTATAATGCCAATGTTAGAATTTTTCATAAAATACATTTTATTTTTTTTATATAATATTTTTACTTTTAAAATAATTATTTCTAATTTTACTAAAGGATATTTTATTTTTTATATTATTATTATCCTCTAAAAAATGATTGTCTGTATGTATATTTTTTTTTTTTTTTATTAATAAAGAATATTTTTTTGTATCATTTAAAAAGTGTACATCATTGATATTTTTGCTTTCAGATAGGTTCATATTCATATCAAACATTTTTTTTGTATCATTTTTGAAGTATTTATTATCAAAGCTTTCTGAAAAAACATTTTTTATTTTACATATTTTATTATAATTTCCTGTTTTATTTGGAATATAATGGTAATTTTCCATATTATAATATTTTTTATTATTATGCTTTTTTTCATTTATTATATTATTATTTTGAAGTATATCTAAATTATTGCATTCTGTAAAATTATTTTTTCTAATTTTATTATGTTGATCTAATAAAAATACATTATTATTTGAAATGTTTTTTTTAATAGTACTACAATTATTTAATAAAACGCTCTTATTAAATAACATATTTTTTTTATTACTTTTATATTTATCCAATAAATAATTATTCTCAATAAAATTGTTTTGTTCATTCAATCTAAATTCTTCTTCTAAGGATCCATATAGGAAATTATTTTTTTTATATTGCATGTTTAATTCCTTTTCTATATAATTATGTTTATTTATATTTGTACTTTTAGGAATAACTATATCATTTATACTTTCTTGTAAAAAAAAGGAGCTATTGGTTTGATCATTTTTATATTCTATTAAGTCAATATTTCCATTTTTTATATTATCATTTTTATATGAATAATCTAAATATTCTTGATAATTATTTCTAGCATTTATTTTTTTAAAGTTTTCGTTATTATTTAAGGTATAACATTTTTTTGTATTTTTATTTTTACGATATATTTTAGATTCTTCATTTGTATTTGAAAAATCATTTAATTCAATTAAATAATTTGATGAATTTTTTTCATTAGTATTGTGCTTTATTTTTAACTTATCATTTTCATCATATTCATAATTATTTAAATTTTTAAAACTTATTATATTATTACACGAATTGTAACTATCTTTGTTGAAGAGATCTGTATTCATATTGTTACTCTTTAATTTATTACTATTTATTATTGTGCTTTTATTTATTTGATTGCAATAAATTTTATTTACACCCTTATCATTAATTTTTAAATTTTCATTTTCATATAAACTATTTTCATTGTATATATGTTTTTCATCATTTATATTATTATTCTCTTTTTCTATATATATAAAATTTTTATTATTTTGATAACCATAATTACTGTCTTTATAATTAATATTATTAATATTACTATTGATATTATTACTACTATCATTATTGTTACTATTACTATCATTATTATTATTATTATTGTTATCATAATTATTAGTTCTAATACTTATATTGTCATTATTATTAATATTATTACTATTGTTATTGTTACTTCTACGTTTATTGTAATTATTCTTGCTACAAATAGAATTTATATTGTATTTTTGGTAACTAAAATTTTTAACATAGTTATAATTATTAATATCTTTTGTTTCAATATTATTATTTGCATTATCAGTAATATTATAAACTTCCTTATTATTACAATTGCTTTCATCTACATTATTATAAAATTTATCGTCATTATTTTTATAATTATAGTTATTAAAATATAAATTTTCATTGTTATTTATATAGTTAACTTCATTATTATTTCTGTAAAAATTTTCGTCTATGTTTGTATAATTATTATCATTGTTAAAGTAAAAATAATCCTTGTTATTTATATAATCTCCTTCATTATCAATATAAATATTCTCTTTATCATTGTATTTTCTATTAAAACTATCATCCCTGCTAATATAGTTCTTTTCATTATTATCATTTATATCAACATAATTCACATTATTTGTATGATTATTATTTATATTGCTAGCATTATTCGTATCACAAAAATAATTTATTAGATTATATTTTTTGTCTGTCTGTTTATCTACTGTTTTAATGATATTCTGAAAATTATAAGGAATATTATCTCTATGGACTAACATTTTCTTAGAATTATTATAAAAAGTACTATAATTGATATTATCTAATTTATTATTTTTTAAATAGTTTTTTACAAATGATGAATTATTAACTATATTTTTTTCCTTTAATTCTTCGTTGATAAAATGATTGTTCTCTTTTGTATTTTCTATTTGAAATAAATCATTACAATTTCTTTTGATTGAAGAATTAAAATTTAAATTATTTTTAACAGTAGAATAGTCGATGTGAAAATCTTCTTCGTTATTATTGTTTTTTTCATTTGTAATTTTATTTATATGTAACATTTTATTGATCATTTTAGTATTCTCTTCAAATTTTGACTTATTAAAATTTATATTTTTTTTTTCAATTTCATTAATTGAGTTATTATAATTTTTTTTATTCCTGTTATTATAATTTGATGAAAAATAAATTATATCATCTGTGAAAATATTATTATCTACATTATCATCATCACCTTTATTATCAATATAATTTATATTATTACTAGTAATAATACAATTATTATCGTTAATGTTATCTTTTTTATCTATATCATTAGTATTATATTCATTTATGTTTATAATATTACTACTATTATTATTATTATTTTCTGAACTACCAACAAAGTCATTATTATCGTTCGTTTTTTTTAAATTTTCTAATTTTTCAAATTTATTATTATATTTTTTTAAAATAGTATATTCATTTTCTCTTATAATATTATTCTTCCCCTCTATGTAAAAATTATTTTGTTTCTTTGTATTATCTATTGATAAATTTTTACAATATAATTCTTTTTCATTATTTACATTATTTATATCACATAAGTTGTTATCGTTAATTTTATTATTACTACAATTATTTTTCGAAAAATATAAATTATTCCTTTCTTTTGTATCATTTAAATTATTTATTATTTCTCCATTTATAATTTTTATTATGTTGGAGATATTTTTATTTGTACTTATTTTAGTATCATTATCAAAATTGATATTTTCATTTATAACATTATTATTACTAGAAGTGGTAGAATTATTATTACTATTATTACTTATCTTATTAATTTTATTATTACCAGAAGTGGTAGAATTATTATTATTATTATTATTATTATTATTATTATTATTATTATTATTATTATTATTATTATTATTATTATTACTATTATTATTATTATTAAATAGTTCTTTTTTTTCGTTAATATCCTTTTTATTTTTAATTATATTAAGATTCTCATCATTTTTAATTTTTATCTCATTGCTGTTTTCCTTAAAATATGTCCCTATTAAATTGTCTGATTCATTATAATTATATAACTTAGCGTCATTGATACTGATATCATATAATAATTTACTTTTTACTTGATCTGAAGAATTAATTTTTTTATCATTAATATGATTACTTATACTTTTTTCTTTATTTAAATTTTCTATAGTAGAATTGGTTAAGAGAAAATAATTATCTGTGTCATTTAAATAATCACAAAAATTTTGTTTTCCTCTTTTAAATTTTAAATTATTTTTGTTTAAGTTTCCTTTTTTTACAGTATTTATTTTACAATCGAAATTTTGAATTTTAATCTTTTCGAAATTATTAATTTTATTTTTATTATTTACTTTTATATTTTTTGCATTTATCAAATCTAATGTGTAATTCTCGAATACATTAGAAGATTCCATCTGGTTTATTGATGATTTGCCAGTCATCATTTTATCTAAATTTGAATTATAATTTACATCTTTATTATTATTATTTTTATTAAAATCTAAATGGTAAATGTCATTTATATTTTTATTACTCTCATTATTATTAGTTTCATTATTTTCATTGAAAAAAGAACCATAATTATTCTTCTTCGTCTTAAATTTTTTTATTAGAGAATATATATTTAGAATTGGTGAAATAGTTGCGTTATTTGATGATATATTATTATTTTTTTTATCATCATCGATGGAATGATACTTTTTAAAATGGAAATTCCAAATATTATAGTTGGTCTCATCATCTTTATTCTCATTATCAACTAAATTATTTTTATCAGCATTAGTAAAAATCTTTTTTATTTCATTAAATTTTTGTACATTTTTATTTTTTGTTTCAAAATCTATGTGATATAAAGAGTTAATAATATTAATTTTCTTATTTTCGACTATTTTAGATTCCTCTTTTTTTTTTTCTATTATATTATTATTTTCTTCAACGACTACATCTTTTATATGTTTGTTTTCTTCTAATTTTTCATTTTTTTCTTTATTTTCCTCTTTTTTTTTATCCTTTATTTTAGAAAATATAGTTAGATAAATATCATTACTATAGTCAGTATCTTTATTATCACCTATTATATTAGAAGAATCTTCCATATCATTTATTTCAAATACGTATTCTTTATTATTTTCAAAAATTGCTTTTACGCTTTTTTGTATAAAAAGTGGTAAACTATTTATATTTTTATAACATAATTCAATTTTTTTATTCATTTTTTTCTTTTCTGTAGATAATTTCTTATTTTTGTTACTATTAATTATATTTTTATTATTGTTATTATTTAAAACATTTTTCAAATTTTTTTCTATTTTCTCTTTATCGCTTTTATTTGAATTTTCATTTTCGACAGAAATACAATTTTTATTTATCCTATTAAATGCATTATTGTGATTCCCATTATTATTTTCACTTAATTCTTTCTTGTTTTCAATACATTTTCTGCCACTTTCATAGTTGTTATTTTCATAACAAACCTCTTTTTTTTTCTCTACAATTTTGATGTTCTCTTCTTTAGTTTGAGTATATAATAATATTTTATTTTCTTCCTTTTCATATTCTATAGTATTTTCTTCATTTAAATTAGAACTATTCAACACATTATTACCATCTTCAAAATTCTTAATTTTATCATTCTTTAGAAAATTGTGATTTTTCTCATTATTAACATTATTTTTAGTTAAATCATTTAATGATTCTTCATTTTGCATGCACATGTCAGTTTTTTCTTTTTTGTAGATTTTATTATTAATTATTTCATCGCACTTATGTATTGTTGGTTTACTAATATTATTGTAACAGTTTTTTTTTTGTTTATCGACTATATCAATCCCTTCATTATTTTTATTCTTCCCATTAGAACTTTTATCAGATGCACAAAATTTATTCTCTTCATTTTCATTACCATCTAAATCAAATGTTTCAATAATTTCTTTGTCTATATCAGTTTTTTCTTTATTTTGTTCTTGTTGAATTTTTTCTTTTTCGTCATTCTTTTCTTTTTTCTCTCCCTTAATTTCTTCTTTTTGTTGTTCTTCCTCTTTATTATCCTTTATATCAGTGTTATCTTCTTCATAACTACTATCATTGTCATTTTCATCGTCATCGTCATCATCGTCATCATCATCATCATCATCATCAGAGTTGGAATCATATTCATTATAAAATTCATGATTGCTAATAAATTCTAAATCAGTTTTTAAATTTACATTTTCCTTTTTAAAAATTCTACAATTTTCAGGTGTTTTATACTTTTTATGTTGAATATGAGTTCTATGTAAATTGCAATTAGGTATGTATAATTTGTAGTATTTATTAAAAGGTTCTGATAATAACAAATTTTGTAATTTTTTATATCCAAAATGCATGCTATTTAGTTCTTTTTTAAATTGAAGAATAAACTGCTGCTTTAGTTGTGCTAAAACTAACCCATTTTGTTTATGATCCACTAATAAAGAAATAATGCGTAAAACTTCTCCTAATGTTTCACATATTTCATAGTTAAAATTTTTAATTTTGGGATAAAGATCATCAGCACTTTTTTCACAAGCGGAAACTGGTAATAAAATTCTTTGAGAATATACAAAAATTCCTTTATGTATAGCTAATTGAACTAAATGTATAATATCTCCTAATCTTTTAGACTTAAAATGTTTAATTTCTTGCTTTAATTTTGCCGCAAATGCATATCTTCCTCCATTGAACATATATGACTTTAATTTTTTGTTAGAAGGAGAACAAAAAATACATTCATTAGTATTAGGAGAATTATTCAATACCATTTTATTATCACTGTTTGAACATTTTAAGAAATCTTCTATTTTTTCATTCGTTATATTTTTTATATTATTACTATTATTAAGGGCGTTTTTTCTTTCCATTTGTTCTAAATTTTTTATATGATTCTTTTTATATATGCATGCAATGGAACATGTTTGATTATTTAAAGAATTTGAATCTTTATATTCTAATGATGTGTTTTCATCTTGTAAATATCCATCTAAAGACTTATTTTCTACAGAATTTCTTCCCATTTCTATATTTTCTTCTTCTTGTATATTAGAAAAATTATCTTTTTGATCATTTTTAATATTTTTACAGTTACTTTCTTTTTTGATTTCTTCGTTATTCTCTTTTTTATATTGCATCATTTTTATAGCAAATTCATGTAATAGTAGCCAATCTTTTTTACTAAAAGTATCATTTAAATCATGACTATCAACAAAGCCTTGAAAATCTTTTGGTTCCTCATTTAAATAAATAACACAACCAACTTCTCCTTTTACTCTCACCTCAATTTGTATATTGCATAAATTTGTTAATTGGCATAAAATATATGCAATTTCAGATGCTGACCAAAAGTTATAATTAATATAAATTTTCATTTGGTTAGCTATATCTCCTAAGTAAGATTTAATTCCTTCTTGATATAAAAATAAAACTGATTTATAAAAATAATATTTTAACTTGAAAAAGAAGGAATCTAAATCTAATGATTCTTTTTTAATTATTAATAAAACTTTTTTTAGCCAGGTGTTTTCAATGATTGGTTCTATAATATATTTATCATTATAAAAAATATTCTGATTTATTAAATCTATGTATTTAGATTCATTTCCATTAGTGCTAACACTTACATCTAAAGTTTGTTTTTCCTTATATAACTGATCATAATTTATTATCATTTCCTTTGAATATCTTGTATTGATGCTATTTTTATAATTTGATTTATAATTTAATATATCACTATCTATTTCATTTTTATAATCATTGTTGTCTTTATTATTATTAAAATAGACCGCCCATGTCAATCCTCCTTTACGAAAATTACCAGCATTTTTTAAATTGTTAAAAATACATGAATTATAAATATTACATTTTTTTAATTCTGAAACAATTAAAGGATCTTCTTCTGATAAATTTATTTCTCTACCAATAATTTCCTTAATTTGTTTTATATAAATTTCATCATCAATATTTAAACATGCATTACATAAATTTAAACTAAAATTTTTATTGCTTCTTTTTTTTTTATTAGTTGATTTGGTATTATTAGAAGAAAAAACGTCATTTAAGTACATTTTTGAATTAGCAATATTATTAGTTACATGATCATTTTTAGTTTTTTTCTGCTTCTTTTTTAAATTGAGAGAAATGTTTACAGTATCCAAATTTATTACATCGGCAGAGAAGTTATTGTCCTCATTTGAGATGAACTTCATAAAGTTTGTCTCATTGGGTTCATTTATTTTTGTATTATTATTGATGTTGTAAATTTTATTATCTTTACATTTACTTTTTATTTTTGTTAGGTCATTTTTGTAGGACTTATAATTTAATTTATTAGTAATATGTACAGCTTTGTTATTTGAATTATAATTATTATGTATCTTGATGAGAGAATTTTTTTTTACACAGTTTATTTTCTCTTCATTTTCATTAAATATTTGATTATAAATTATATTTTTATAATTTTTTTTTCTACCAATGTTCTCAAAACTCGTTTTTTCAAGAGGAGCTACTTTCTTACTATATTTATAATTATCATTACACTTATTTTTTAAGTATATATTTATTTTATCTTGTTCCTTTAAGAATATGTTTGAAGAAATGCCTGAATGTGATTTGAATAATAATTCATTTTCTTTTTCTAGTTTTAATGAAGATTTATCATTGGAATAAATATCATTATCTAAATTTTGATTTAAATTAACATTATTACTTAATTTTTCAACATTTTTTTTCCCTTTATTATATTCAATTTTATTTTTAGTCGTTTCATATGAATTTAGATATAATGAATCTACAGATTTTTGGATGCTGTTTTTTTCAAAATTTTTATCTGAATAACTATTTGGTTCTACTGCATTTAAATTTTTAGATTTATAATAATCACATGAATCGTTATTTAAAGTATTTATTGTTTTATTTTTGTTGTTTTCTGAAAATACAATTTTTCTAATTTTTTCATTGTTATATTCATTATCATAATTTGTGTTAATATATAAAAATTTAGAATTCAATATATTTTTATTTTCATTCATATCTCTTGTATTTTGAAAATTAGCATCACTATTATTAGACAGTAAATTATCTTTTAATACATTGAAATTTTTATTTTCCCCTTCATCTATCATATTATTTTTAATTATTTTGTCATTTTCTGTAATATTATTAACATCACTATTCTTAGAACCTTCCTTAATTCTGTAACAGTAGTTTGATGAATTATTGTCAGTATTTTTATTATCATTAATTTCACTATTATTTATTTTATCTTCGTAATTACATATATAAGAATTATTGTCCATATTTACATCTTTGTTATTCTTATTTGATTCAAAAGAATTTTTCAAACTCTTATTTAAATTTTTTCTATTAGAATAGGTAATACTAGAAAAGCTATAATTATCGTTTTTGTTATTTATGTTATACTCACTTTTTTTATAGTATTTTTTCACTATTGATTTTTTATTGTTTTTATCATGAAGAGTATTTTTTGGATTATAATTTGCTCCATTTCCTATAATTTTATCATATTTCATTTTACACTTATGCTCATAATCATTTTGTTCCTTATTTTGATGTTCATAATTATTGAAACAACTCGTAATGTAACATTGTTCATAGGGAATTCCGTACTGATTATTTTTAATATCTTGATTTGATTCTTGTTCTAAAAACATAGCCACAAATATTCACTTTCTACAAATATTATTTATATTTTTTTTTTGTTTTTTTTTAACTTTTATAATTTTTTGTTATTACTTATATAATTCAATATATATATATATATATGGAATATATTTAAAATTAAAATGCATATAAATTTCATATATGCATTTTTATTATTAATTCATATTACAAAAAAAAATTTTTTATGCATTTTAAATATATATAAAATGCATATATTCTTTTAGTATTATTATTATTAGGTATAATTTTAAAATAATATTAGCATACAAAAAAAAAATTGTAGTACTAATCTATAAAGGTGAAATGTTGATATATTTCTCAATAATTTAACAAATTAAGTTTTTCAATTACAAAAATAGGAAAAGAAATAAACAATGAGATACTTTATTTCAAATTAGTATTATTATTTTATTTTTAAACAAAATTGTTTTATAATGTAAAAAATAAAGTTTCGTTCATAATAATAAAAATTAATTTTTTTTTTTTTTCTCTTATATATGCATATTCTAATACACATGAAAATAAAAGAATATAGTATATATATATATATATATATATATATATATATATATATATATATAAAACAAAAAAAATATTATCGTAGAATGCTTTCTTATTTTTATACCTATAATAAATAAGAAATGCATAAACACTATATATATATATATATTATAATTTTTTATTAATTCTTAAAACAAAATGTATAAATTTTTGTTCTTAATAATTGTTCTAAAAAAAATATTTTAAAATATGAAAAATTGCTTTCAAATTTTTAGCCATATCTTACATTATTATGAAAAAGAAAAAATATATAAATATGAAAATGCAAGTATGTAAATATACAAAAAAAGAAAAAAAAATAGATTTATGCTAAAAACAAAAAAAAAATTAATTTTTTTCTAATTGTTGCAAAGTTACATTTATGTAGTCTAAAAAAAAAAAATATATTTAAAGTTATTTTAATATTATGACTTTTTTTAGTGAAAAAGGATGTTTATTTATTTAATTAAAATTAGTTGTATTTATGTTTTTATGTTATATTTTTAAAAAAAGTATACAAAGAAAAGTCATAAAAACACTCTCTAAATGTATTTTTAAGTATACATGCATATTATTTATGAAAATATTAGTATTATCTAATATTTCCAGCTTTATTCATTTAAAAAAAAGCCAAATGAACAAATAAAAATAACAAAAAATTACATGTTATGTTCATAATTTTATTTATTTAGAAAAATGGACAAAGAAAAAAAAATCTAAATAATAAAATCAGGTTGCATACAAAATTTTGTATCCACGAAACAAAAAAAAATTATGAGAACATAAAAAAAGAGAAAAAAAAATATTAACAAAAAAAAAGAAAACTAAAGAATACAAAGGAAAAGAAAAGGAAAAAAAAAAAAAAAAAAAAAAAAAGAAAAAAATAATAAGAGAAAATGTAAAGACAGAGAAAAAGGGATTAACAAAGCAAATGGAAATGAGAAAGGATACATAAAAAAAAATTACAAAAAAAAAAGAAAAAAATATATATATAATATAGAACAAACAATTAACAAATTAGAATAAGAAAAAAAAAAATAATTATAACTCAATCATTTCTTAAATCATTATTACATTTTTGTGAAATACTTTATTTCATTTTCTTAATACAAAAAAAAAAAAAAAAAAAAAAAATTAAAATGAAACAAAAAATGTAATTATTACAAGGTTTTATTTAATAAAAAGATAATATAATTAAAAAAAAAAAAATAAATAAAATAAAATAAGAAAAAATAGAATAAAGTGAAAGTGTAAATGTGTAACCTTTTTGTTATTTTAATTATTGTACGCACACATGTGCATGTGCACAAGACCTAAAAGTATTTTTTTTTTTTTTTTTTTTTTATTCTAGCCTAATTGAAGAATAAATATTTTTCAATTTTGTGCAAGTATTTTATTGGTTTACAAATTTCATAATTACGAGAATTTAATCAGACAATTTTATTCGTAAAGAAAAAAGAAAAAAAATATTCATATCTTAATTTACTAAAGAAAATATTATTTATAAAAAAAAAATAGTTTTCATATTTATTCCTAAGAAGTTTTAATATATATATATTTTTTTTTTTATTTTAATAATGAAATATTAGAGAAATAGTGAGAACAAAAAATATAATACACACATATCGTTTTTAGTAAATTATATTCGTTATATAAAATTATAATACTTTCATAATTTTTTTTTTTTTTTTAAAAAAAAGGAATAAAGATAATTTAAAATTTTAAATTGATATAAAAATAAAACAATTTTTATTTATTTTATAATTAATTCAATTTATAATTGTATAAGATGAGGATAGAGTTTTAATATTTAGACAAATGAAATAATGCAAAATAAAAAATTAAAAATTTTAAAATTTAAAATACCTCGTTTACTTAAGTGCATTATAAAAGTTTTGATATATATAAATAATATATTAATTATATTTTTTATATAAAACTTATTTATACTTCATTTTAATAATGAAAAAAATAATTGTATAATCAAAAGTTAAAAAAAAAAATATCTTTTTTTAAGTTCAATTTTAATGCATACGCATGTTTTAATTTGGTTATTTTTACTTTTTCTTTTAAAATATGCTTAATAAGATTATATAAAACTTATAAAGTTTATATATATATATATATATTTATGTATTTTTTAAGTTATGATACAAATTACATATAAATAGAAACATTATAAATACATTTGCACAAAATTAAAATGAATTTCTTTTAATCATGTAATTTCTAAAAAAAATTATATATAAAGGCAAATAATAAAATTCTTTAAAGAAGATATAATAAATTTGAATTTTGAAGAAATAATTTCATTTTATATTTGCACATATATAAATATATTTATTTTTAAAGTTTACATATATCTTTTTTTTTTTTTTCTCTTTTCTTATTAGAGAATACATAAAATTAATTTTTTAATATTCATTGTATAAATATTATTTAAAAAAAATACTCATCCATTTATTATTTTAATTACAATTATTTCCTTTAAAAAAAAAAAAAAAAATAATAAAAATAATAATAATAATAAAAATAATTTAATATATACTTATATAAATGTATATAATTTCAAGATTATGAATATAAGTGATGAAGAATTAAATAAACGAAAAAAGTTTTATGATATGCTAAAAAATAATCAAACAGCACATTTAAAAAATTCAAATATTAGTTTAAATTTGAATAATAATGTTGAAAGCCATTTTAACAATAAATTAAATAGTCAATTAAATGAAGAGTCATTAGAAAATTATTATAATGAAAAATACAAAAACATTAATAATATAAAAAGTCAAGTAAATATGAATACATTACATAATTTTAGTGATTATTCTTATTCGAATGGTAATAATTGTGAATATATAAATAAAAATGATAAAATTAACCATTTTGTAAATATGTCAAATGATAACTCAATATATATATCTAATTTAAACAATATAGATAATAATTCTCCTGTAAATCAAGGAAAAAATAATTATGAAAATAAAAATAATAGTCATATGGATAATATATCTAATAACAAAACTTATGATTTAATTAATAATACAAAACATAAGACTTCATCTGATATTATCAATACAGATAAAATGAATAATTCACTAAAATTATATAACAATATAGATATGAGTTTTATTTATAACAAGTATGATAAAAATGGATTAATTTATTGTAAAAAAATAAAATTTCATTTAAAGAATGAGAGAGATAATGATTATACTAATTTTTTAGTTGTCAAAATTAATACGTTAAAAAGTACGTCAGGAAAACAGTATATGCGATTAGAATTATCAGATGATAAAAATGAATCATTTTTTTATTATCTAGATCTGTTTGAAGAAAATTATGAAAAAATAAAAAGAGAACAAAAACTAGTTATAAATTTTAATTTATTTCCATTTAAGTTTATAGATTTGTTAGAAGAGTGCGTTCTTGAATGTGAACAATATGAAGACATAGATGATCAAAGATTAAATGCTGTTTTAATATTTGAGAATAAAACAGATAATCAAAATAATAATTTAAGTTTAAATGGAGAAAATGAAAGCACTTATAATAAATTGAATAATTACAATTATTACAAAAATGAAAAAAGCAAACCTGTAGAAAATGCTATACTAAACCTTGTGGAAATAAATCAGTTCAAAGAATTAACTCATCTTTCTTTAGTTTTGAAAAAAGCTGATAATGAAAATGTTATAAAATATTTATGTAACAATTTAAAATATATTAAAGAATACAATTATGAAATTATTAAAAAATTGAATGAGGAAATTATTAATAATAATAAAAATAATATGGAAATAAAAAATTTAGAAAATACTATTGAAAAATTAGAGAATGCAATGAAAACTTTAAAAAATGATTTTAGTAATGCATTAGATAATGATATAAATAATTTAAGAGAAAAACATTTAAATGAAATAAATAATTTAAAAGAAGAACATCAGAGAATTATTGAGAAAAAGGAAGAAAAATTTACCATAGAAAATGATGAATTGAAAAAGGATTTAGAAAATTTTAAAAATAAATTCAAAGATTTAAATGAATTAAATGAAAATAATGAGAAACAAATTTTCAATTTAAATAGTAAAGTTAAAACAATGAAAAATGAATTAGAAGAAAAAAATATAAACTTTTTAAAACTTGTAAAAGAAAAAGAAAATATTGAAAATGAAAAAAATGAATTAGAAAAATATAAAAATACATTTACAATAGAATTTAATAATTTAAAAAGTAAGTATGAAAAGGAATGTGAAAGTAATATATCCAATAATTCTAGTTATGAAAATATAAAAATAAATAATAGTACACTAGAATCAGAACTTAAAAAGCATAAAGAAAGAAATGCAAAATTAGAAAAAGAAATAAATATTGCTATTGATGAAATAAATAAAGGAAATGATATAATAACAAAATTACAAAATCAATTAAAGAAAATGAAGGATAAATTAAAAACTAAAACATTAGAGCATGTAAATATAGAAAAAACAACTTCACAAAGTATTAATGAAATTAATAAGTTACAAAATGATCTAAAAAATCTTCAAATAAAATTAAATGAAAAGTGTTCTTCCGAAGAAAATTTAAAAAGAGAGGTTGATAATTTGAAAAGAAAAAATGAAGAGATAATTAAAGAATTAAATATATCCAGAGAAGGTTACAATATATTAAAAACAAAATTTTTTTTTTTTTTTATGATAATATAATAATATATATGAAAAGAATATATTATATATCATTTAAAAAAAAATATAAATAAATAAGTATATATTTATATATATATTTATATTTATATTTATATTTTAGTTAATCTAAGATTAAATAAAGAAATAACAAACAAAAGTTTAGATCAGTATGCTACTAAAATAGGTAATTTAGGGACACCTAACGGTTTATCAAGTATAATAATATAATTTAAAATAATAAAAAAAGAAAAATAAATGAAATAATATTTAGATATTTATATAATATATATATTATATATATATAATTTAATATTTTTTAATATAGGAGTAAATTTACCAATAGATACGAATTTATTAGATAAAGATCTCTTTACTAAATTAAAAGCAAATTTAAAAAACAGCACCATTCCTACATATGCGTCAGAAAAGTAAATGAGAAAAAATATCTAATCACAAAAAAAAAATATTTATTTTTTTATTCATTGTTTATTATTTCTTTATTTTATAGTAACATGAATAATTTGAATTTAATAACTGGAAAAATAGCATCTTTAGGTAATTATATTTGAAATAATAATTGTATATATATAAATTCATTATATTATCTTAATTTTTTTTTTTTTAGATATCAATGATAGATATAATAAACCTGTGAAATTTATTCCTCCAGGTATTTAAAATTTATTCTCCTTTTTATTATTATATTAGTCATATTTTATAATGTTTTGGGTATGATATTTTAAACATGAAAAAAATCTTTATTATTTATACTATATTTAATTAACTTTTTTTTTTTTTTTTTTTTTTTTTTTTTTTTTTCTTTCTATTCTTTTTCTTTTTTGTTTTTGTTTTAATTATTTTTTTTTCTAGTATTTAATTACAATGAACTTTATATATATAGACATATAAAATTATGTTTTTTTTTTTTCTTTTTTTAAATACTTCCTAATGTAATATTTTATTATTTTTTTTTTTTTAACATTTAAAAATCAAATTTTATTAATTTTTTTTCAAGTAACATAATATTATAATAATTTTATTTTTTAAATCCATACAATCAATATGTTAATAGATAATATATAACAAATTTTAAAAGAATTTTTAAAATAAAATTATAAGGAATAAATTTACATAAAATTAATAAACTTATGTAAATAAAAATAACATTATTATATTATTTAAAAATAAAGAAAAATATTGTTTTTAAAAATTTTTTTTTTTAATTAAAGTAAAAAATATTAGTTTAAAAATATTTTTCTTAGAATTTCTGCTCATTTTTTTTATTTTATTTTTGAACTATATACAAATTTAAAATTTAAATAATTTTCAAAGATACCATATATTTTTCATAAGATTTGAGAAATTATAGGTCTGTTTTTTTTACCTCATTTTGTGTTTCTTTATTATTTATTTTTTTATTTTTTCCCTTTTCCCATAATTCGCAAGATTTAGCAAATAATGCTGAAAAAGCAATTAGAAGCAAAATATGTTTACTTTTTTTAAAAAATTTCATGCATTTTTCTTTATCATTTAAAGAAGATTGATTTAAATTATAATATAAATACAATATATTAAATGTAGACAAAATATAATATGTATAATGGATGTTAAATAGATATCCAGTTAAATAAAATAAGTATAGCATGTTGAAAGCTAAAAACTTAGAGTTTTTTAAAGTTTTTTGATCCCACTTAATAGCTAATGACTTCAAATTTAACTTTAAATCGTCTTTTTTATCTTGATGAGCATAAATTGTATCATATATGATTGTTAATAAGCTTAGTGGTAAAAAGCTTATAAAAAGCGGAATAATATTACTAATAACATCTAAATTAACACTAGATGCAATTAAAAACCCTAAATTAAAAGTAAAGGATAAATAAATTTGAGCATAATATGTTATTCTTTTTAATAATGGATATGTTGTAATAAAAAATGTTGAAAACAAACCAATACATATCGTTTGATAATTAAATTGAAATAACGTTAAAAGTGCTAGAGATCCATGTATACAAAAATATGCTAAAGCTTTTTTTGTACTTATTGTATTATTTGCTAATGGTCTATTTTTTGTTCTTTCAACATATCTATCAAAATTTTTATCAAAAAAATCGTTAATAATACAACCAACAATTCTGCTATTAATACTACCAAATAAAAAAAGTCCTATATTTTTAAATATTTCATTAATTTCCTTTATATTGAGTTCATTATTTATAAGTAGATTATCAACATTATAAGTTAAAAAATAACCATATAGAGCAGAATAAAATAATAAATAAACTCCGTCTGGTATATGTAATCTTGATAAAATTATATAACTTTTTATATTGGATTTAATTATTTCTTTAATGTTATTAGCACAATCTCCTTTTTTTTTTCTTTTACTATTCATATTAACGCAGTAATTATATTTTTGTATCATTTTCAAATTATCTTTTACATTTTCTAAATTGTTTAAATTATAATTATTGTTTGTAAAAACAGGGACATTTTTTCTATATTTTTTTTGAGACCTAATAAAGTCATATATCTTTGGTAAATTTACATTATTTTTATGTACAAAATTCACATTATAATTTCTATTTTCACATCTAATGAAATATTTTTTTTCATTATACATATATAACTTTTTGTTAGATGAAGAGAAATGTTCACATTTTATTTTATTTTGCAAATAATGAAATTTATTATATTTTATATAAATTTTAAAATTACTCTGATATTGTTTTTTCATTTATTTGTTATCTTTTTTCTTTTAATGAATTTATATATATGAAAAAAAGAGAAAAAATAATATTTACAATTTTCTAAAATATTCACACTCGTTAAAAATATAATATAAAAAATAAATTTTTTTTAAGCATATATATTAAATATATAAACTTCATAAAAATCCTTTAGATATTTCAGAAGTGGGGATAAAATAATTTTACACTTTTTTTTTTTTTTTTTTAAATGAATAATTTCTTAATTTTATTATGACTTTTCTAATTTTCTTTTGTACTCTCTTTTAATCAATTCATTTTTTTTCATTTATTAATGTTTTTATTTTTATTTTTTTTTTTTTTTTTATCTTAAATCTTTCTTATTGTTATATTCTTACTTTATTTTATTTTATATTCTTTTTTTCGAATATTTATTTGTTTGTTTGTTTGTTTTTTTTTTTTTTTTTCCATATTTTTTTATTATATATATATTTCTTATTTTCATTTATTGTATGCTTGAAATATTTGATACTTTATTATTCCTATATATATATAGTATATTCGTAATGAATTAAAATATATTATGACATTTATAATCTTTGATTGTCATAATAATTATATAAATAAAATATAAAAAATTACTAATATTTTTATAGATACCTTTTTTTGAACTTTTTTTTTTTTTTTTTTTTTTTTGAAATGAAATATGCTGATAAATTGAAACTTCTCAAAATAAAGTCATGGGAGAAAAAGTATATAGATTATAAATTTTTAAAAAAAATTATAAAAAAAGAATACAATTCAGAAATAAAAAGTATATATGATCAAATAGATAAAAACAATGATGAAATAAAAGAAATATGTAATATGAGTAGTTCAGATTATAATAATGTTAACTCAAAAGAAAAGAAAAAAGGAAATAATTTAGAATGTGAAGAAATTGATTATTCCTATTTATTTTTTTATCTTTTAGAAAACTACATTAATATTGTTAAGGAGCATTATGAACAGGAATTTAGCTATTTAAATAAAAAGTTAAATGAAATAAAAAATTTTTTGAACAATGATAAAATAAATCAAAAAGATATAGAAATATTAAAAACAAATTGTTTAAATATATACAATCTTTTTGATGTTTTAAATAATTATTTAAATATCAATATTCTGTCTGTCTACAAAATTTTGAAAAAAAAAAATAAAAAGGAAAAGTCATCTACAGCTTTAAATTTATATCAAAAATATTATAACAGTTTACATCAAATTAGTAAAGAAGAAAATTTTAATGTATAAAAGAAAAAGAATATAATCTACATGGAAATGAATTTTACTATATTTATTTATGAATAATTTTATATTGTATTTTTTATTTTTTATTTTTTTTTCTTTTAGGAAAAAATAAAATTAACATATTTATCTATACAAAAAAAAGGAGGAGAAGATTATGAAAAATTAGATTTAGTAAATTTTAAAATTTATGTTAAGAATAAAATTGAAAATATTGGAAAATATAAAGGAGTTATTTACTTTTTTTGTGGAATTTTAATAACTTTAATTATAAATGTCATTATTTTGCTCTATATAAATATAAATAATATAAAACTTAATGTTATTTTGTCAATTTTACCAATTTATAGATTATTATATATTTTAAATTTTTTCTTTTTATTCATTTTTGGTTCATTTTTTATTATGCAACTATATGGAGTAAATTTTACGTATAAATATTAAACAAAAAAAAAAAAAAAAAAAAAAAAAAA